CATCAATTGGAATACCTTTCTTACAGTGCCTTAGCTCCCAATATGAAAAAAGGTTACTTGTTTTTTATTAATTTTTTTAAAGAAAGACTCCTTATGTATGTTACTAAGAGGACTGGTTTACATTTTCAATACCCTTGATCTGGATATGGTAGGAGAGGTGATATGTTGGAACGGAAAATTGTGAATTGCAAGTCCAGTGGAAAGAATGGGATCGTTTTCTTTGGGGGCGAAGGAGAACATATATAATTTTTTATTCTGTGGAAACTGAAGGCAAAATGTATTGAAACATATCTTTATGAATTATAAATAGAACTAGCTTCTGTTGCACTCATTTATTCCTTGTGGATATATATAATTGTTTAGTTGCATATCATTTTGTTTTGTTTTTTTTTTTCCATTTATTTTTATTGGTTGGAGGCTAATTACTTTACAACATTGCAGTGGTTTTTGTTGCATATCATTTTGAAATCTTTCTTAGACTTTACTTTCAGACTGCTACTCTCTGTTCAGTATTGATAATGTCAATTACATTATTCATCTCCACAGATTTTTGTTTCATTACTGTTTGGGAATGGCTTTAACATTGCTTTGGTCATAGGTCTTTCATATAGAAATAGTTTTCTCAGTTTTAAGTGTGCCTTCTAATTATATTTGATTCAAGAACATTTGGGACTTTATTTAGAGGTTCTCTTTGTATATTGTTTCCACATTTTCCTAAAACCGCTGACAGTTTATATATACATTAGTAAGTCACTAGATTTTTCTGTGTTTCTTACTGTTGTCCATGCTTTCTATTAAAATACTTATTTAAAATAGCACAACATTTTGTCTGTGGTTTTGGGAACATTAAACTTAAGTGCATTCTGTGACTCAAATGTGTGTCTGTTCAGAGACATTCAAAAAGAAAAGCAATTGAAAGCTCAAATGCAATGTTGTTACGTTTTTATTGAAAAGAATTTTTAAAAAGCCAGATATTGTGGTGCCAGATACATTACTTTAATGGCTAACTCCTTGACAGTCTGTCAAAAGGTAGAAATTGTATCTGGGATAGCTTTATGGGATAAAAATGTCATAGTTTTGATTTTACTACCTCTGACTATAGAAAATTGTTTTAACTGATTAACCATGTGAATGGTCATATGTTCAGTACCATCCATAGAGCTTTTGTGGAGAAAGTATACTGGATGTATCATTTTTAAGGTGTCATTAGATTGTTTGAATTTGCTTTAAATTAAAAATGACTTGAATATCTTAACATGAATTAAATTCCCACCTAGGCTTAATTGCCCTATTCTACAAATGAGAAGTCCAGAATTGAATAGGATGTAATGATTTATTTATTAAAAAATCTTGTACCTAGAGAATGAGGAGAAAAAGAAGGTGGAGTTACCAAATTCTGAGTACTTATTCATTTGGGTTGTGCATCCAATTATTTCTAGTTCTGTCGCTCTTCTTTGGAAAAAAGGAGTCAAGGAGTCAAATGGTTTCAAGGTTTAGCTTTGGAATCACATCAAAAGTGTTCAAATACCAGGTTTTCTATTTGGAAGTGTTCAAATACCAGATTTTATATTTGATAGTCACCTGCATTTGGGAAAATTGTGTGTCCTCTCTGAGCCTTAATATTCCCTGGAAAATGAGCAAATTTTAACCTGTATCATAGGACAGTTGGAAGGATCAAATGAGATTAATGCAAGCAAATTATTTATCTTAGACTCTTGACACATTGTAAGATTTGTTAAATCATTCCCTAAGTGTTAGAGGTGAGGTGGAAATTAGGGAGTGGTCACTGCACTGATGAATGGCATAGTAATACCATTTGCTAATATTCTGATGACAGAATGAAAGTGATCAAATTTAACACAGATCCATCCTTATCTTGCTATCTCTCTTAGTAATTCACTTGCCAGATCTAATAAACTCAGAAGTGAAGCTGACATTCTGGACTACCCAAAGACAGTGGCAAGCTAGGGAATGGTGACTATCTAATAGCCCAGTAACTTCCCACACTGTTGATACTGGAGATGTTCATGACTGGGCAGATGAGCACTTGGCTTCCAGTGCCCCCAGTGGGACCATATCTGTCAGTTACTCTTGATCACAATGCCTGAGAAAATTGAAATGTGAAAAATATATGTAGTGTAGTGTGTGTAATATGTGTAGTATGTGTGCAGATTCACAAAATTTGCAAGAAGATGCAAATCTTGCCTGTATTTCCTACCAAAGGAAAATACAGTAGCTGTAAACCATTCTTGTTGTTGTTCAGTTGTGTCTGACTCTTTTGTGATCCCATGAACTATATAGCCTACCAGGCTTCTCTGTCCATGGGATTTCCCAGGCAAGATTACTGGAGTGGGTTGCTATTTCCTCCTCCAGAGGATCTTCCAGACCCAGGGATTGAACCCTGGGTCTCCTGCTTTGGCAATCGGGTTCTTTATTGTCTGAGCCACCAGAGAAGCCCTTCTCATGGTTTTAGAGAAATTGTATTGGGAAGGTAACTAGCTACAAATACATTTACTGAGTTGCTTCCTTCAGGAAAGAATGCAAATCATCTAGAGGGCTAATGTTAGTATAATATAAAAGTGACTGTCAGTGTCAGATAAGTACCCAGAATGTTTCCTTAAACAATTCATGCAATAACTTCTTCTACAGGAAACCCTGGTTCAGTTCCTGGGTTGGGAAGTTCCCCTGGAGAAGGAGATGGCTACCCACTCCAGTATTCTTGCCTGGAAAATCCCATGGACAGAGGAGCCTGGTGGGCTACAGTCCATGGGGTTGCAAAGAATCGGACATGACTGAGCACCACTAATAACTTATCTAAGTGCATGTGGAATGAGGTTTGAGAGGGAACATAGTATTATACCCCTTTGTTCAAAACAAGTCTGTGCACACAGTCTGAGCTGTAATTTCTTGTTTCTGTTTCAGCCTTTGCTTCCCCACTCACATTTTAAATTCTTTAGATACAGGGGACAAGTCTTGTCCTTTTGCAAAGAACAATTCCTACCAAATGACACTGGTCTTAAAAAGCTTTTATTCTTCCTCTGCCAAAATGTTGCTACTGAGGAATTATCATCAACTCAGTTATGACCCTCCAGTGTGAATGGTGGTGCTGAGTCACCCACACTCTCATCTGATCCCCTTTTTGATCACAGCAAACTTTCGCAAGATAGCTGGGTGGAATGATGGTTAGCTGCAGTGAAACCATGCAGCTCAGATTGGGACTTAAACCCATAGCCTGAGGCTCAAACCTGGTTAAAACCCAATTTGGGATTTGAACCCATGTGACCAGGACTTGAACTCAACCAAAACCCACAGTTTTCCAACTGAGATCACAGACCTAGTTTCAAGACCTAATGAAGCTCTGGTTCTTGATGTCTCATCACAGGAAGAATTCAGTGAGAGACAAAGTGATAGGTAAGACATGGATTTAGTTAGAGAGAAACACACTCCACAGACAGAGTGTGGGTCATCTCAGAAGGCAAGAGCAGTCTTGAGAGAAACAGACTTCATAGACAAGAGTGTGGGCTCAAAATGTGATTGGTTAGTTTTTATAGGCTGGGTAATTCCATATGCTAATGAGTGGGAGGATTTTTCCAACTATTTTGAGGAGGGGTGGAGATTTCCAGGGATTGGGCCACTTGTGGTCTTTGGTCAACCTTGGAAATGTCTTCGCGCCTCTGGGTGTGTCATTTAGCTTGCTGATATATTCCAATGATCATATACTGAGGGTCAAGGTCTAGTTGAAGTTGACTTGTCTGCCATCTTAGACCCATTTGATTCTAATTGGTTTATGTTGATTCCTTGGGCTGTGTCATTCTTTCAAAGGTTGCGCCCTGTCCCCTCCCTCCTGTTTTAGCAGCATGAGTAAAATGCTACATTTTCTGTGTTTGAACATGTTTCTAAAGGGATAAATACTACAACTGTGGCATCATTAACACTGTATTTAGCAGAACCACTAAGCTGTATGCTGAAATGTATATTTCAATTGGGATGAAATTCACAGTGGCATAGATATCTACACTCACTTACACTATACTCATTGAGTGTAGTAATATCTATACTCATTTGTGCTGATAAAGCCGAATCAGAATTTCTATGTGTATTTTGTGCCTAAGAAGTTGGTGGACCTGAGGAGATGATTTAGTAGAAAGAAACATGAGTTCTAGGCCTAACTGGGTTGTTCTTCACTGGGTTAGTAATTTTCCTTTGTCTCAGTCTGCATTTCTGAAAAACAAGGGTTTGGTCTAGATGGTTGTTTTTCAAATGTACTGGATCTTAAAGAAGCTTATTGCATCCTAGCCAGTCCTAAACATCACTATTCATCAGGGCTACAGCCTGTAAGTCTATTATATATGTGTGTGTGTGTATATATATATAATCAAATACTCCAAGTAACTTATATAAACACTGGATTAGGTGTTGTTTGACTTCCTTGCTCCCCACTTTAAAAAGTCGGAGGTATAGGAGGTGGTAGTTATCACATTGTTATTAATGTTCATTTACAAATGGCTATGCTGAGAGATTGGCCTATCATATCAACAGAAAAATCTAAGAAATAATATCCTTTAAGGACACATTATTTCACTTTTATTTAACTAAATGACAAAATAAACATTCATTAGTACATACTAATACATTGAAACCAACCGATAGAATATGGTAGTCATTAAAAGCTTGTGCCATCTTGTTGAATGAAGCCTGAAGAGAGGGAAAACAGTTTTACTTTTCTACCCTCTAGTCATTTCTGTATTTATAGAATCTCTTTGCAGTATGGTATTGTAGGGTCTAGGAGCGTGAAGAAGTGTTATAAAAATCATGGAAATTCAGGCTTGATATGATCACAACTGTGAAGATTATGAGTATGGGTCTTATTAAAGAGATAAGTGATATAAAACAATGAAATGTTTATAACACAGACACACCTTTGCTCATGCTCAAACATCCACACACATAAGCACCCTCATGCCCCCACAAATATGATCACATGCACACCCTCTTTGGAACACATGTTGTGTCACACTCTCAACTCTGGATTGAGTTTTTAGTTGATTAAACACATGAAACAAACTATCCAAATAAACTCTTTTGGCAGTTATTGAAAGTCTTTTGAAGTAAGCCAGAATGCCTCTGCAGTCCATGTTCCCATATTGAATCAGTCCCTGTCACAGTGATAGCATGTTTATTTTTTATGTTGGAACGTGGACTTCTTCTTTCATTGCACCAGCTCTGCAAAGATAAAAATAAAAGTCAATAATGCAAGGTTCTTTGGGTTTGAAGACCTCCTCTGTGGTGAAAATTTAGGCTCTAATTCTTTCTGCAGTCTCTTTAAAAGATTAGGCTGCTACTCTGTAGCCTTATTTTCAGACTTTTTCTCTCCCCTCTAAAAGGGAAAATAGTTTCTTGCTCCTATGAAGCAGTAAAGCTTCTTAATACTTTGGTGATTCCCTCATTCCTTTTATGTTTCTGGGGCCATGTGGTCTGTTGAAGCTTGTCATTTGTAACAGGAACTGACTGGGAGAGGCCCACTTGGGAAATGCTAAAGGTAATTTTGAAGATTTCCCCAAAACCTTGTTCCTTTCCTCAGAGCCCTTTACTGCTCAAAGCAAAATATTTTGAAATACCAAATTTGGAACTTGAACTATAAAGTAAAACAAAATGAAATATTTCCAAAAGTTAACTCATACACCCTGCCTAAAAGCACCCCCTTCCCCCAAAGTCCCTGCTTTGGATAATGGTATCAGCTGAAGTCTTGGCCTCTCATCCTGCCCTGTTGTTCTTCACATTCTGTCTTACCTACAAAACAGCTCTTAGTTCTCATTCTCTGGTCTTGCCTCATGGCTGAGTAGGATTTTGTTGAATATAATCTGTTAATCTCCCTGCTTCCTCTTCCTCAAATCCTAACCCTGTTGAAACAGTCTTACTTCTAAAGTATGAATCTGATTTTGTCTTTAGAAACTTTGTAACTAGAATAATAACCAAGGAATGTTCTCTTATGGTTATCAGCTCCTTTATAACCTATCTTAGACTAATATGATATGATTTCCTTTAGTCCTTATTCAATCCCTCAGCCCCCTTTTAGGGACACTGAACTTCTTACCATTCCCTAAATAGGCCCTGTTGTTATCTGGACTATCTCCCTAGACATGGCATTCCCCTACCTCTCACATCATGACACCTCTGTCCCAGGCTAGCAAACTCCAGTTCAACCTTCAATATTTGTCTGATGTCATATTTCCTGGGAGGCTTCCACACCCCTCCCTCCTAGAGTTACTCTATTCATCCTCTGTTCCAATGCAAATCGTGCTATGGCTAGTATAATGAGTTGAATGTTGCCCCCTGCCCTGAAAGGTATATCCACGCCCTAACACCCTGAACCTCTGAATGTCACCTTGTTTTGAAAAAGGCTCTTTGCAGATATAATTAGGAATCTTGAGATGAGATCATTATGGATTACACAATTGGGCTTTAAATCTTGATTCAAGTGTCCTTATAGGACATATAGAGGAGAGACACATGGGGAGAAAGGGAGACTCTATGAAGATGCAGTCAAGATTGAATTGACCACAAGCTGAGAAACTCCTGGAGCCACCAAAAGCTGTAAAGATCCCCCTGCCCCCCGCCCTGAGACTTGGGAGGGAGCATGGCCCTGTCGACCTCCTGATTTCAGGCTTTTAACCTCCAGAAATGTGTGAGAATACATTTCTTTCTTTCCTTCTATTTTTATAGCCACCAACTTTGTGCTAATTTGTTGCAGCAAACCTAGGAAACTAAGGATGGTTATTTATACATCTGCCTCAAACTAGATCTGGAAATCCTAGAGAAAAAAAAATCATAGATTTTTTTAAATTAATAGACATTTTGGGAGTGGTTTTAGGTTAATAGAAAAGTTGAGCAGTAAGTACAGAATGTTTTTGTATACCCCTTCTCCTCCAGTTTCTTTTATTATTAACACCTTCCCTTTGTTGTGTATATTTATCACAATTAATGAGCCAGCATGTATACATGATTATTGACTTAAATTCATAGTATGCATAAGGGTTCAGTCTGTGTGTGGTATATTCTATGAGTTCTTAACAAATGTATAATAACATGTATCCACTGTCATAGCATCTTACAGAATAGTTTCACTAAGAAGCTAAAAAATAAAGCCCTAAGATTCTCTGATTCTCTACCTATTTATCCCTCCCTCTTCCCAAACCTTGATAACCATTGATGTTTTTACTGTCTCCACCTGTCTTTTCTAGATTGTCAGAGTTAGGATCATATAGTACATAGTCTTTTCAGATTGTCTCCAGTCCCTTCACAATATGCACTCAGGATTCCTTCATCTCTCTTCATGGCTTGATAGCTCATTTCTTTTCTCCTTGGCTGTTACTCAGGGTCTCTGGGTTGGTTCTGGCTCTTCCTTGCTTTGATGTGATTGTGTCATATCCTAAAGCCAAAGGACTAAGCGTGAACTGATCATGAAGAGGACACCTGCTGTCACAGGAGAAAATGGAGCCTTAAGCTTCCAAAAGATGTATAACTCACATTCATAGGTTGAATACATTTTGAGTTTTACAGTTGGTAACTTCGACTTACTTGTAAAACAGTTTAAAAGTGACTCGTAATATTTATGAATCTTACTTAGAGCTAGATTTTAGGTTATTCCCATGGCTGAATGGCTAGGATCACTTACCCTTTTATTTTGCCCTCCCACCATCTCTTTTTTAAGAAAAGAGTATCCTTCAGTAGCATTCGGTATGTATGAATGAATGATATGAAGTGGAGGTTTTTGGTTAAATTCAGTTGCTAAGTCGTGGCCAACTCTTTGTGACCCCATGGACTGCAGCACGCCAGGCATCCCTGTCCATCACCAACTCCTAGAACCTACTCAAACTTATGTCCATCATGTTGGAAGATGCCATCCAACTATCTCATCCTTTGTTGTCCCCTTCTCCTCCTGCCTACTATCTTTCCCAGCATCAGGGTCTTTTCCAGTGAGTCAGTTCTTTGCATCAGGTGGCCAAAGTATTAGTTTCAGCTTCAGCGGAGGTTTTAAGTCGCGATAATTTTAAGAGGTCTTGGAAAGAGAGATACTGGGTTGGCCTAAGTGTTCATTCAGGTTTTTTTGTAAGCTGTTATGAAAAATTCCAGACAAATTTTTTGCCAACCCAATACATATGAAAGAAGCTGGGTCCTGAGGTAATAGTTGTTAAAGGTGAGTGATAAGAGTTATGAGGGCTTGTTTTATTCTCTAAATTTATGTGTTTGAATTTATTCATTTGAAAATAATACCGATAAAGAGAATTTCAACATAATTTTAGGCAATTATATTAATTGAATAGAACTTTTATCTCATCTCAAAGCAGAATTTTATATGCCTAAAAAAATTCTAAAAGACCAAAAATTTTGTATGACTTAAACTACTTAAGGATTTGAATGCAAAAAAAGTGTGTACATACATATATATGTGGGGGTATGTGTATTGAATATCTATAATATATTCTTAGAAAAGATATTCCAAAACAGTAACAACAATTCATAGTAAATATATTTGAATTTTATTTATGAAAATTCTAGAAAAAATGCTTGAGCAAATACTGACAACAGATAATACATAGCCAAATGGAAACATTTTAGGTGCCAATTTAAAGTCTAAAAAGCCAAATGTAGAAATTTTTTTTTACTATTAAAGAAAAGTTTCAAGAAAGGATATTTGAGCAGTCTCATAAAATTGTCATCTTATGATACGATTTTGGGTGCAGTTTATTTGTGATAATTTCAAGGAAAACAAAGGCAACAAATCTGTCATGCAACTTCATAGTAAATAATTTATGGTTAATATAAATAAATAATTTATGGATACATCACAAAGGGGAAGGATTCCTCTCCCACCACATTGGGAACTATCTTTAATTAAGCTATAAATTCATATCATTTCTTTCTGTATAATGAAAAGTTCCCTTCAGAATGTCCTGAAAATATTGAACTGGAAAAAAAAAAACTAATATTTTTTTCACAATTTCAAATGGTTTTCAGTGTAAAGTCCTAAAACATAAACTTATTTTGATCAAACTAGTATTATTTAGCTTTGTTTTTAATAAATATCTATACACTTATACTAAGAAAATTCATTTAACAAAAGAGCAAAAGAAAATCCCAGCCTCTTGTTTTCAGAAAATATATTAGTAGATGGCTCAAACATAGAATCTTGGTTCCCCATAGATCTCCAGCCAGCCCTCCCAGTACCTCCAGCATGGTCTTCTGTTGCATTCTCCCCATTGTTTGTGATAAATATTTCTGGCACATTTATCATCTTTGGTAAAGTAAATTGTTGAAATCTGATTTACTGCCAGCTTTGTGGTGAATATGCAAAAGAGCTGAAATCTGTGTTTTGGATTAACATTTTATTATTTGGCTGGTACTTCTCTGCTTTGTAGCAGTGTTGTGATTTTGCTTGTTTTTAAGCTTCTTCAATTTTTGCTACATATTTTGTCATTTGACTAATAGGAAAATGTTTGCTTCTTAGTCATCTTATGTCAGATGATTCATTTCTTCTCTTTTTATTTGTTTGTTTTTTTAATAACATCAAGCATTTTTAGTAGTGTTTCTAAATTTATCATGCAGCTGTTAAAAAAAATCCCCACTAGAATTCTAACATGTGTGCTTTGGTGCTGTAATGAATGTGCCTATTTAAAAATTTTAAATTGATACTTCAATGTATACTGCAATGTGACTACAGAACAGCATCTCTAAATTCATTGCCTGCCCCAGGAGTCAGAGTAGGCTGCAAAAAAATGACTGTTCTGATATGATTTTTATGAAGATTAGGATTTCAAGTAGTCACTGACTCATTTTGTTTGTTTTGTTTTGGTGCTATAATAATTTTCTCTTAGTACCACACCACCTTCCTAGTCATTCATTTAGCCTTAATTTACATATTTATTCAATTAACATTTTGTGACCTCTGCTTATTTGCCATGCACTAGGTTAAACATAGGAACCATGAGATGAATAAGACATGATCACTACATACAAGTAGCTCATACATTGTGAGGAACATCTTTGTTCAAAAGGGAAAAAGAAACTTGTGTTAAGACAAAGAAAAATGAAAATAACATCTTTCTCTGATATAGGCATACCTGAAATGATAGAACTGTAATATTGACAGCTTTGGGGGAAAAATGGACTTGCAGAAACATTTTAGATTGGGAGCAAACATTTGGATTTACACACAAGGCTGTCTAGAACCCACTTAAGTTGAATGACAAGGGTTTCTGGTGACATTTTTGCAGCTATCTACAGGCAAATGGTGCATATTTATAGCCTGGAGGTCATCAAGTGGAACTGCAGGGGGTTGGAGTAAAGGCAGAGGGAGGAGAATTAGGAAACATAAAGGGAAAGTGGAATTATTTAAGTATTTAGAAATTGGAATAGTTGAGACCTCCTATTGTTAATAGGGTGATAAGAATGACAGGTGTAATAATGGGTATTTCATCTCATGTGTGTGATAGTGTGGTGGTGGCTAAGCTGTAAATGAATAATAGTATAAATATGATAAATGTTATTATAATATAAATTAGTAGATTTAAAACTGTTCAATTATATAATAGAATGGCTTTTATTCACCCTATATGAGCAATTGGTGAATAAGCTATAATTTTTCATAGTTGTGTTTGGTATAGTCTGCCTTATCCAATTATCATAGTATGAATGAATAGTAGGTTTAGGATCATGGATGGTAAGACTTGGTATAACACTGACAAGGGTGCAAGTTTTTGTCATGTTAGTAAGATTAAGCCTGCTGTTACTGGGATACCTTGTAAATTCAGGTGCTCAGAAGTCTAGTGGAGATCACCCTAGTTTTATGGTTAGGGCTAATGTTATTACTATTGGTACTGTTGGATTAAAGATTTTTGTAATAGTTCATAGGCTGGAGTATAATAGGTTAATGATAACAGCTATTATAAGTAATATTGATGTGGTAGCTTGTGTTTGAAAATATATATTCCTCACAGGTTAACTTTTTTTTAATATAGGAAAAATGGCTAGTGTGTTTACTTTGAAACCGATTCAGATAAGTAGTCAATTCAGTTCAGTTCAGTTGCTCAGTCGTGTCTGACTCTTTGTGACCCTGTGGACTGACTGCAGCATGCCAGGCCTCCCTGTCCATCACCAACTCCCAGAGCTTGCTCAAACTCATGTCCATTGAGTCAGTGATGCCATCCAACCATCTCATCCTCTGTCGTCTCCTACTCCTCCTGCCTTCAATCTTTCTTAGCACCAGAGTCGTTACCAATGAGTCAGTTTTTTGCATCATGTGGCCAAAGTATCGGAGTTTCAGCTTCAGCATCAGTCCTTCCAATGAATATTCAGGACTGATTTCCTCCAAGATGGACTGGTTTGGTCTCCTTGCAGTCCAAGGGACTCTCAAGAGTCTTCTCCAACACTACAGTTCAGAAGTATCAGTTCTTCAGTGCTCAGCTTTCTTTATGGTCCAACTTTCACATCCATACATGACTACTGAAAAAACCATAGCTTTGACTAGACGGACCTCTGTCAGTAAAGTAATGTCGTTCTGCTTTTTCATATGCTGTCTAGGTTTATCATAGCTTTTCTTCCAAGGAGGGAGCATATTTTAATTTCATGGCTGCAGTCACCATCTGCAATGATTTTGGAGCCCCCCAAAAGTAAAGTCAGCCACTGGTTACCCATCTATTTGCCATGAAGTAATGGGACTGGTTGCCATGATCTTAATTTTCTGAATGCTGAGTTTTAAGCCAACTTTTCACTCTCCTCTTTCACTTTCATCAAGAGGCTTTTAAATTCTTCTTCACTTTCTGCCATAAGGCTGGTCTCATCTGCATATCTGAGGTTATTGATATTTCTCCCAGCAATCTTGATTCCAGCTTGTGATTCATCCAGTCTGTCATTTTGCATGGTGTACTCTGCATATAAGTTAAATAAGCAGGGTGACAATATATATCCTTGACATACTCCTTTCCCAGTTTGCAACCAGTCCATCATTTCATGTCTGGTTCTGTTGCTTCTTGACCTTCTCAGGAAGCAGGTAAGGTGGTCTGGTATTTCCATCTCTTTAAGAGTTTTCCAGTTTGTTGTGATCCACAGAGTCAAAAACTTTAGCAAAGTCAATGAAACAGAAGTAGATGTTTTCCTGAAATTCCGTTGTTTTTTCTATCATCCAATGGATGTTGGCAATTTGAACTCTGGTTCCTCTGCCTTTTCTTAATCCAAATTTGAACATCTGGAAGTTCTTGGTTCCCATTACTGCTGAAGCCTAGCTTGGAGAATTTTTGAGCATTACTTTGCTAGTGTGTGAAATGAAGTCTCCCAGTCATGTCTGACTTTTTGCGACCCCATGGACTGTAGCCTACCAGGCTCCTCTGTCCATGGGATTTTCCAGGCAAAGGTACTGGAGTGGGTTGCCATTTCCTTCTTCCCAGCCCAAGGGTTGAACCCAGATATCCCATATTGCAGGCAAATGCTTTACCATTTGAGCCACAGGGAAGCCTAGCATGTGAGATGAGTGCAATTGTGCAGCAGTTTGAACATTCTTTGGCATTGCTTTCTTTGGGATTGGAATGAAAACTGACCTTTTCCAGTCCTGTGCCCACTGCTGAATTTTTCCAATTTGCTGCCATATTGAGTGCAGCACTTTCACAGCATCATCTTTTAGGATTTGAAAGAGCTCAGCTGGAATTCCATCACTTCCACTAACTTTGTTCATAGTGATGCTTCCTGAGGCCCACTTGACTTCACATTCCAGGATGTCTGGCTCTAGGCAAGTGATCACACCTAGTGCTTATCTAGGTCATGAAGGTCTTTTTTGTACAGTTCTTCTGTGTGTTATTGCCACCTCTTCTTAATATCTTCTGCTTCTGTTGGGTACATACTGTTTCTGTCCTTAATTGTGCCCATCTTTGCATGAAATGTTCCCTTAATGATAATGATAGTGAAGTGGCTCAGTCGTGTCCAACTCTTTGCGACCCCATGGGACTGGGGTCTACCAGGCTCCTCTGTCCATGGGATTCTTCAGGCAAGAATACTGGAGTGGGTTGCCATTTCCTTCTCCAGGGGATCTTCCCGACCCAGGGATTGAACCCAGGTCTCCCAAATTTGAAGCAGAAGCTCTTAACCTCTGAGCCACCAGGGAAGCCCAGTGTTCCCTTGGTACCTCTGATTTTCTTGGTGAGACCGCTGGTCTTTCCCATTCTATTGTTTTCCTCTATTTCTTTGCATTGATCACTGAGGAAGGCTTTCTTATCTCTCCTTGCTATTCTTTGGAACTCTGCAATCAGATGGGTATATCTTTCCTTTTCTCCTTTGCCTTTTGCTTCTCTTTTTTCTCAGCTATTTGTAAGCCCTCCTCAGACAACCATTTTGCCTTTTTGCATTTCTTTTTCTTGGGGATGGTTTTGATCACTGACTCCTGTGAAGTGTCACGAACCTTTGTCCATAGTTCTTCAGTCTGTCTATCAGATCTAATCACTTGAATCTACTTGTCACTTCCACTGTATAATCATAATGAATTTGATTTAGGTCATACTTGAATGGTCTAGTGATTTTCCCTACTTTCTTCAATTTAAGTCTGAATTTTGCAATAGGGAGTTCATGATCTGAACCACAGTCAGCTCCTGGTCTTATTTTTGCTGACTGTATAGAGCTCTTCCATCTTCAGCTGCAAAGAATATAATCAGTCTGGTTTCGATATTGACCATCTGGTGATGTCCATGTGTCATCTCGTGTTGTTGGAAGAGAGTGTTTGTTATGACCAGTGCGTTCTCTTGACAAAACTGTTAGCCTTAGCCCTGCTTCATTTTGTACGTCAAGGCCAAACTTGCCTGTTACTCCAGGGATCTCTTGACTTCCTACTTTGCATCCCAATCCCCTATGATGAAAATGACATCTTTTTGGGGGGTGTTAGTTCTGGAAGGTCTTGTAGGTTATCATAGAACCATTCAAATTCAGCTTCTTAGGCATTAGTGTTGGGGGCATAGACTTGGATTACTATGATATTGAATGGTTTGCCTTGGAAACGAACAGAGAGCATTCTGTCCTTTTTGAGATCATACCCAAGTACTGCATTTTGGACTCTCTTGTTCACTATGAGGGCTACCCTATTTCTTCTAAGTAGATATAATGGTCATCTGACATAAATTCTCCCATTCCGGTCCATTTTAGTGCACTGATTCCTAAAATGTTGATGTTCACTCTTGCCATCTCTTGTTTGACCATTTCTGATTTGCCTTGATTCATGGACCTAACATTCCTGGTTCCTATGCAACATTGTTCTTTACAGCATCGGACTTTACTTCCATCACTAGTCACATCCACAGCTGGATGTTGTTTTTGCTTTGTCTCAGCCTCTTCATTATTTCTGGAGTTGTTTCTACACTCTTCTCTAGTAGTGTATTGGGCACCTACTGACCTGGAGAGTTCATCTTTCAGTGTCCTATCTTTTTGCCTTTTCATACTGTTCTTGGGGATCTCAAGGCCAGAATACTGAAGTGGTTTGCCATTCCCTTCTCCAGCGGACCACATTTTGTCAGAATTGTACACAACGACCCATCCGTCTTGCGTGGCCCTATGTGGCATGACTCATAGTTACATTGAGTTAGACAGTGGGAGCTGATTATTACAATTATGGTTCCTGAGATAATGGTTGTTAGGATGATGATCAAAATGATGCAATTTATTTGTACGGGAAGGAAAGGATATAAACCAGCATTTTAGGGGTTTTGGCCAGATGGCTTATTTAGCTGACCTTGCTGTTGCGTCACTAAGTCATGTCTGACTCTTTGTGAACCCATGGACTGTAGCCCACCAGGCTCCTCTGTCCATGGTATTCCCCAGGCAAGAATACTGGAGTAGGTTGTCATTTCCTTCTCCAGGTGATCTTCCCAACGCAGAGATCAAACCTGCGCCTTCTGCATTGGTAGGCGGATTCTGTACCACTAACCCTCCAAGGAAACCCCTTAGCTGATCTTACTCTAGAATATAGTGTAATGTGATGGCATGAATAATTCTCAATTCTTAAAAGTAGGTTCAATTCTTATGATTCTAGAAAGAAGAGAATTTAAACCTTTATCATTTACTCTATCAAAGCAACTCTTCTATCAGACATATTTGTTATTTTTTGGAGGAATACTTGATGTTATAATAGGTAATGAGACCTGTCATGTGCATAGGGCTAGCATTGGTGGTAAAAAGATTTTTGAAGTAAATGTATTAGTTGATCATATTGGAATTGTATCAAATTGAATTCATAGGATATAAATTGTTAGTAGTAGTGTTTTGATAATAAAATTGTGTATTGTTTTGGTTTATATGGGTTATGGCACACTCCTAGAGGATTGTTGTGAAAATGTTTAGTATGATGATGATGGCATTTTCTGCTGAGAAAAATATGGCGAATGGGCCTGCTGTGTATGCTACATTGAAGCCTGCTAAAAGATTCAGATTCTCCTTCTGTTAGGTCAAAGGGGTTTGGTTAGTTTCTACTAGAGTGGAAAGAAATTGTAACTAAGGGTCATGATAGGAAAATTATTCATAAATGGTCTTGTGTTGACATGAGGGTTGAGAGGGTAAAAGATCCATTTATGAAGAAGACTGATAAAAGAGTAATTGCTACTGTTTCTTCCTATGAAATTGTGCTAGTGCTCATTTGTGCTCCTCTGATTAATGCATAATTTGAGTTGGAAGCCTACCCAGATCATAAAATGGAGCAAACAGCCAGGTTTGAGATACTTAGTATAATAATATTCCTAGATTTATATCAATGAGAGGGTAAAGTATGGATAGAGGAATTCATGTGGTTAGGGCTAGGATTAATGCAGTGATAAATACTGGAAATGGAGGATGTAGCTGGTCATCATGGTTTTGTGCTTTTTTAACAAATAATTTTGACTACATCAGCAATGGATTGTAATAGGCCATATGGTCCTATGATATTTGGCCCGTCTCCAAGTTGCATACAACCTAAAATTTTTTGTTCGATTATTGTAAGGGATGCTATGGCTCAAGAATGGGGATAACAAGGATTAGGATATTAATTGTAAACATTGTGTTAGGAAGAGAATTTGAACCTCTGGTTATAAAAGTTTGTTTCATGCAGTTACCAGACTCTGCCACCTCAATAAACCCTGATTTTGGGTAATGTTTTGTATGTTTTAATTAAATTGAGATTATACCATTAGTTGGTTTTAAGAAAGTTTTTAAATTAGGCCTTATTTCTCTTGTACTTTTTTACTGGGAGAAATATATAATAGATTGGAACTGACCTGGATTATTCTGGTCTGAACGCAGATCACATTGGACTTTAATCATTGAACAAATGGACCCTTCATAGGACTTACATCATTGGGTTATCCTGATCTGGCACCGAGGTCACAAACCCTATTGTTGATAAGAACTCTGGAACAGGATTGCGCTGTTATTCCTCGGGTAACTTATTTCATTGATCAATAAGTGACAATATGTTTTGACTGGTAAGTTTAGATTTTAATCACTTGGAGGCATTTTTGTTCTCCAAGATTACCTCAGCCAAAATTGCCAACTCATAAAGAATTTCATTTTCCCTCACTGTTTGCTGCTGCTGCTAAGTCACTTCAGTCACGTCCGACTCTGTGCAACCCCATAGACAACAGCCCACCAGGCTCCCCCGTCCCTGGGATTCTCCAGGAAAGAACACTGGAGTGGGTTGCCATTGCCTTCTCCAATGCATGAAAGTGAAAAGTGAAAGGGAAGTCGCTCAGTCGTGTCCGACTCTGTGCGACCCCAGGGACTGCAGCCCACCAGGCTCCTCCATCCATGGATTTTGCAGGCAAGAGGACTGGAGTGGGGTGCCATTGCCTTCTCCACCCTTAATGTTTAGTTAGGTTTTTTGGGGCATTATTAATAATTAATGAAAGCTCCATAGGGTCTTATCTTGTTATTCCCACCTGTTCACAGGATGGTCGTTTTCACTGACTGAAATTCAGAGACGGTGAAAGAGAGTCTTACTTAGAGGACAAACGATTATGCTGCCTTTGCATGGTCAGGGCACTGTGGCATTTAACAGTGGTCAGTGGGCTTGATCCTGGGTCAGGTAAGTCCCCTGCAGTAGGAAGTGATGCCTCACTCCAACAGCCTTGCTTGGAAATTCCCATGGACAGAGGAGCTTGGTGGGCTACAGTCCTTGGAGTCACAGTGAGTCAGACAACACGACTGAGTGATTGAACACACACAATGGGCAGGCAGTGCCTCTAATATTACTTACACTAAAGGTGGTGTTTCTGGTGAACAGGTGGAGTTTGCATTTGCTGAGTTACCTTTTAAAATCTTTCATTGACTGCATGCTTGTGTTTAATAAATAATCCTGAATTATATTTATTTATTGTTAATGCTTGTGTTTAATAAATAATGAGTTGTATTTACTGTTAATTATAAATGTGTTATTAGTTACTGATATAGAGGTATGCAAGGAGAAATACTTCTTGTTATTCATATTACCATTATTGCCTCTATTGGTCAATAGACTAGTCAAGTATAAATCTTAGACTTGATTTACTTGTTGTTGGTTTTGAGGTAAAATTATTGTTGAGCTTGAGGTGGCAGCATTTAGGCCAACTGTGGTGGTGTTTGTCTTTATGGCCTAGTTAAGGTTGTATCCATTTCTAAAAAGCTGTGCCTTGTAGATTAATATTTTAAAGTACTTTAATATTTATAATTTTTGGTAATTTTTAAAGTTGAACTGAAATTCTTTTCCTGGACAACTAACCATCACCAGGCTCGTTAGGCTTGTCACCGTCACTTACAGATTTGCTCACTATTCTGCTGTATAGATGAGTCTGATCTAAAAAACTGTTCATAAGTATCTCTTTTCTCCACACCCTCATAAGTATCTCATCAATTTCAGGATGTTTAACTTTTCTTTGTTAAATGTTTGCAGCTTAAATCATTATGAGAAAGATACAGGGGTGAACTTTGCTTTTTGATGCTTTTAATGTTTCTTTCATCATTCCCTTAGTGCCATCAGTTCAGTTCAGTTCAGTCGCTCAGCTGTGTCTGACTCTTTGCCACCCACGGACTGCAGCACATCGGGCCTCCCTATCCATCACCACTCCTGGAGTTTACTCAGACTCATGTCCATTGAGTCGGTGATGCCATCCAACCATCTCATCCTCTGTCGTCCCTTCCTTCTCCCACCTTCAATCTTTCCCAGCATCAGGGTCTTTTCAGATGAGTCAGTTCTTCGAATCAGGTGGCCAGAGCAATGGAGTTTCAGCTTCAGCATCAGTCCTATCAATGAACACTCAGGACTGATTTCCTTTAGGATGGACTCGTTGGATCTCCTTGCTATCCAAGAGACTCTCAAGAATCTCCTCCAACACTACAGTTCAAAAGCATCAATTCTTCGGTACTCAGCTTTCTTTATAAGTCCAAATCTCTCATCCATACATGATCACTGGAAAAACCATAACCTGGACTAGACGGACTTCGTTGGCAAAGTAATGTCTCTGCTTTTTAATATGCTGTCTAGGTTGGTCATAGCTTTTTTTCCAGGGAGCAAGCATCTTTTAATTTCATGGCTGCAGTCACCATCTGCAGTGATTTTGGAGCCCAAGAAAATAAAGTCTCTCACTACTTCCATTGTTTCCCCATCTATTTGCCATGAAATAATGGGACTGGATATCATGATCTTAGCTTTCTGAATGTTGAGCTTTAAGCCAACTTTTTCACTCTCCTCTTTCACTTTCATCAAGAGGCTCTTTAGTTCTTCTTCACTTTCTGCCATAAGGGTGGTGTCATCTGCATATCTGAGGTTATTGATATTTCTCCCAGCAATCTTGATTCCAGCTTGTGATTCATCCAGTCTGTCATTTTGCATGGTGTACTCTGCATATAAGTTAAATAAGCAGGGTGACAATATACAGCCTTGACATACTCCTTTCCCGATTTGGAANCTCTGTATAATGGGCTCCAGTTTCATCCATCTCATTAGAACTGATTCAAATGAATTCTTTTTAATGGCTGAGTAATATTCCATGGTGTATATGTACCGCAGCTTCCTTATCCATTCATCTGCTGATAAATCCAGCTTGAACATCTGGAATTTCTTCTTTCATGTACTGTTGAAGCCTAGCTTGGAGATTTTTGAGCATCACTTTTCTAGCATGTGAGATGAGTGCAATTGTGCAGCAGTTTGAACATTCTTTGGCATTGCCCTTCTTTGGGATTGGAATGAAAGTTGATCTTTTCCAGTTCTGTGGCCACTGCTGAATTTTCCCACTTTGCTGGCATATTGAGTGCAGCACTTTCACAGCATCATCTTTTAGGATTTGAAATAGCTCAGCTGGAATTCCATCACCTCCCCTAGCTTTGTTCATAGTGATTCTTCCTAAGGCCCACTTGACTTTACATTCCAGGATGTCTGGCTCTAGGTGAGTGACCACACCATCATGCTTATCTGCGTCATGAAGATCCTTTTTGTATAGCTCTTCTGTGTGTTCTTGCCACCTCTTCTTAATATCTTCTGCTTTTGTTAGGTCCATACCATTTCTGTCCTTTGTTGTGCCAATCTTTGCATGAAATATTCCCTTGGCATCTCTTATTTTCTTAAAGATCTCTAGTCTTTCCCATTCTATTTTTTTCCTCTATTTCTTCCTCACTGGAGGAAGACTTTCTTATCTCTCCATGCTATTTTTTGGAACTCTGCATTCAAATGGAAATATCTTTCCTTTTCTCCTTTGCTTTTTGCTTCTCTCTTTTCACAGCTATCTGTAAGGCCTCCTCAGACAACCGTTTTACCTTTTTGCACTTCTTTTTCTTGGGGATGGTCTTGCTCCCTGCCTCCTGTACAATGTCACAGGAGCAGCGGCTGGGCAGCGCTGGAGCAGTGGCTGCATGGCGCTGGCACGACTGTGAGGAGATACCCCATGTCCAAGGGCAGAGAAGCCCCAGCAGTATGGTAAGAGGGGTGAAATAGCATTTAGAATCAAACTCCATACCTGCCAGAGATGCTCAGAGGCTCAAACAAACCTTGTGCCCACCAGGACCCAGAGACCCCACAGAGACTGAGACAGAACTGTGTTTGAGTGTCTCCTGCAGAGGTACTGGTCAGCAGTGGACTGCCGCAGGGGCTCTCAGCGCAGCAGACCTGGGTGTGGCATAAGCCGTCTTAGAGGAGGTCTCCATTAACTCCTCCATAGAGCTGCCAGAACTTACACAACAGTGGGGAAGCAGACTCTTAGAGGGCACAAACAGAATCTGTGCACACCAGGACCCAGGAGAAAGGAGCAGTGACCACACAAGAGGCTGACTCAGACTTTTCCAGGAGTGTCCAGGAGTCTCCAGTGGAGGTATGGGTTGGTGGTGGCCTGCTGAAGGGCTGGGGGCACTGAGTGCAGTGGTGCGTGTATGGGACCTTTTGAAGGAGGTCCCCATTATCTTCGTTACCTCCACCAGAGTTTGGTCTCAGGTAAATATCAGGGATGGAACACAGCTCCACCCTTCAACAGAAAATTCATTTAAGTTTTACTGAACATGGTCCCGCCCATTAGAACAAGACCCAGTTTCCCCCTGTCAGTCTCTCCCATCAGGAAGCTTCCATAAGCCTCTTATTCTTCTCCATCAGAGGGCAGACAGACTAAAAATCACAATTCAGAAAACTAACCAATCTAATCACATGAACCACAGCCTTGTCCATCTCAATGAAACTATGAGCCATGCCATTTAGGGCCACCCAAGACGGATAGGTCATAGTGGAGAGTTCTGACAAAATGTGGTCCACTGGAGAAGAGAATGGCAAACCACTTCAGCATTCTTGCCTTGAGAACCCCATGAACAGTATGAAAAGGCAAAAAGATAGGATGCTGAAAGATGAACTCCCCAGGTCGGTAGGTGCCCAATATGCTACTGGAGATCAGTGAAGAAATAACTCCAGAAAGAATGAAGGGATGGAGCCAAAGCAAAAACAATACCCAGTTGTGGATATGACTGGTGATGGAAGTAAAGTCCAATACTGTAAAGAACAATATTGCATAGGAACCTGAAATGTTAGGTCCAAATCAAGGCAAATTGGAAGTGGTCAAACAGGAGATGGCAAGAGTGAACATCAACATTTTCAGAATCAGCAAACTAAAATGGACTAGAATGGGTGAGTTTAACTCGGACGACCGTTATATCTACTACTGTGGTCCAGAATCCCTTAGAAGAAATGGACCCCATCATAGTCAACAAAAGAGTCCGAAATGCAGTACTTGGATGCAATCTCAAAAACGACAGAATGATCTCTATTCGTCTCCAAGGCAAACCATTCAATATCACAGTAATCCAAGTCTATGCCCCGACCAGTAATGCCAAAGAAGCTGAAGTTGAATGGTTCTATG